CTCAAACCCCACCAGAAGCCGCTCAGTGGCTAGTGTTGTAGGCGCAGTGGTTAGCGAGTGGGATTTCTGACCAGTAGAACACGGGTTTAAGCCTCAGGGATGGCTGGTGTGTCTGGTTAATGACGGTTAATAAGTCAGAAGTGGCCATTGCCGTCTCCCCTGTCTTTGCCACTAGTCGCTGTGCAGCTGCTGGCTGGTTTAAATGCGAGCCCAAAGGCAAAAGTGCACGAGTGAGTTCTGTAACACGATCGTGAACGCATTTTTCAACGCAACCGATAAGACAACGAGCCCGTGGCATTGAACTTACTACTGTTTACTAATGTAAAGAACGCAGGCTCGATCTCCAGGTGCCCCCCAACCCCGACGACGGCTAATAGAGCAGAAATGGCCATTCTAGTCTCCCCTTTTTGCCGGTAGTCTCATTCTGCATATATATGTATGTAGAGTGGATACGACAGAGTCTGGGGGGTAGATTGTATGTATGTATATGTATATATATGTATATGTATATATGTATATGTATATATGTATATGTATATATAATACTAACAATAAGAAGGCCGCAGTGACCTCTTAAGACAGTTGCTTATTCTTCGACATCCCCAACTCTCGCGAGTCCATCGTCAGGGGATGAAGGAAGATTTAAGTCACATTCGTCCGAAATTATCTGCAGTCGTGTCATTAATTCGCCCATGCAGCGCCTGTTACACGGCCGGTAAATCGATAGTCTGCTCATACAAATTCGTATATACTGAGATCGGGGTATCGGCAAAGACAAGCGAAACCAAGGTGAACATTTCTGGCTTACTGCACTTGAAGAAAAAGATGTGTTAACCAGAGCGGGTTTATTTAGATGCTGACGTTTCGAAGAGCTAGGTCGGCTCTCCATTGTCAAAGCGTAAAATGCACCTAGTCGATCAGAAATTTCAGGTGGCATGTTGTGTTGGTCGGCCTCATGCTGATCGATTTTTCTCTCCTCTCGCTGCCTCGGCCTCTCGGAGAGATGGCTGACGGGCATTTTGCCTGCGTGCTTTGTGAGTCACCACTCCGTCGGGGGGAGCTGATTGAACCTTTGTCAGGAGGTCGGTCTGGCGGTTCTTGTTATTCCTTACCGAGTAAACTCTCCGCAAGGCCTTCTTAAGCTCGGTGTGTTTGTTGGATCCTGAGCTCTACGATTGTGGCGACGTAGTACTTTGCAATCTGCAGGAAGGTCCAGATGCCAGTTGATGGAGTGGGCATCGGAGAAGCACGCCTCGAGAGTTAGCCGTTCTGCTTTTGTGTTGCCCCGGCCTAAGAAGGTAGCTCTCTCGAGAACGAAAGTATGCCCAGTTTCTCCAATGTGTGCTGCTTGGTGAGAGTCAGGGTCTAACCTCCGAGTGGCCGATTTGTGCTCTTGTAGGCGACTCTGCGATTTCCTCCCGTCTTCTCCCACATAGGTGCAGTCGTCCTCATTGCAAGTTATTTTGTAGATGACTGCTGCGGTTTCAGTGTGTGGCATTGGGTCCTTAGGTTGCATCAGACGTCGAACTGTTGCCTGGGGTCGATGGGCTATGCCTACTCTGGCGAGTTATAACAGTCGAGAGACCGCTTCGTAGACCCCATTAACGAGGGAATGGCCCTCTAGACTTCAGGTTGCTGCTCATTTGGCCGTCGTCTGTGCGCCCGACGCCCGCTTCTCTCGATGAAACGTCTGGGATAACCATTGACTGCAAATAAATTCTGAAGGGACAATCGTTCGGCTCTTTTATCTTCTGGCGTGCTACAGTGTGTTTTTGGACTCTTTGGAATAGATTGCGGACACAGCTACGTTTGTGAGACAGAGGATGATCGATATTGAAGTGTAGGGTCTGTCTCCTGTCGGGGGATTTTCTGAATACTGTGGTTTATAGTTGTCCACTTGTACACCTGTAGCGGCCGAGGACGTCAAGGGTAGCACACACCCAAGTAGCGAAGCTCTGACAAGAGATCCTGGCTAACGTTGATCTGAATAGGGTCGTTAGTAAGTAACGATACTCATCCGTACATAGTGGAAGAAGGAAAGTCAAGTGGGCGAGAAGGTGTAATAGACAGACATGAGAATAGGAAAGGCGTATAATAATAGTTAATAGTACAATCAGAACGAGTTACAGCTGTGGAGTAACCTGTGTGGGTGCAGAGGCGATACCGACAGGCCAGCTGTGGGCAACTGCAGGGAAAGGCCGAGGGAGGTGCCGACGCAGAGAGAGGGAGAACGATACGGTACGTTGCGGGAAAAGGGGTTCGGCGGAAGTCAGAGGAAGAGACACCGGCCATCTTCACCAGCACGCGGGTACGCCATCTTCATCCTAGGTCCGCGCGCCAAGAAGTGTTACCTCATCCAAACAACCCTATCGAGGTTGTGGGACGTTACAGACCGGCGCGCAAGCACGTCAAGGAAGGGCAGTTGGTTGTTTGCCTCTGTCTTCGTCAGCCAGGACTACCCAATCCCAGGCCTTTTGATCACTGCGTGTTAAGTAGCCCACTGCTTTACCATTGAGCCACGGTCCCGTCGTCCCGTCGATTGGGATGGCGGATATAAGATAAAGGGAAGAGCCAGTAGAAGTGAGGAGACGAGTCCCAGGAAGTAGTCTTGAAGAAGGAGACACGATCACTGTGACAAGAGCTTTATTAGCCTGACGTTTCGGATTCCTGCTCGAACCCATCATCAGAGACAAAAGCAGACAGGGTTGGTTCATGCACAAGGGGCTGCAGTATTTGTAGGATGCGGTCGCCATGCCTCCGGATACCTATGTAGATTCGCGGCTTCGCCCTTCATCAGGGATTGTTGCACGTGGTGTGATGACAGTTTGATGGCCGAAATTTGCGTCGTTAGTTTCTGCAATCTCATCACGTGCGTTGGATGTTGGTGTGATGACTGCTCGGTCATCTGACCCACCGGCCCTGGTGTTGGGAAGTGCTCACCTGTGCGCTCCCCTCGCGGCAAATTACTCCGCCTAGGCGAAGTCTCAGCACCGAATGTGGTAGGGGAAGACCATTGCACTTGTTAATGGACTGGGGGCCAGTGAACCATGACTTAAGCAGCTCCCGGGGAACCGCGAATGTTCATAAATATGCGATAGCATGGCCACCACATCCTATAAATACTGCAGCCACTTGTGCATGAACCACCCCTGTCTGCTTGTTGTCTCCGATGATGGGTTCGAGCAGGAATCCGAAACGTCAGGCTAATAAAACTCTTGTCCCAGTGATCGTGTCTCCTTCTTCAAAAGGGACAGGACGTTCACCGGTCTGATTACGGGACATGACTGTCCCCATGCGTCTTGGGACTTGACCTGAAAATAAGGCTTGCGTAGTAGCTAGCAGAAACTGAATTTGACAGTTTTATGCCTTTAGATACCCCGCCCTCGTCTGCCGCTGTCGCTTTGGATTGCGGGCGATGGAAGTGCATCCAATCGGAGAATTTCGTCGTTTTCTTCCCACGTGTTCCTGCCCTTGGTCGTTATCTCATTAGAGGCAACAGGTGTGCTTTTTCTAGCTGTCAGTCAGATCCCGGTCTTCAGAAACTTTGCAGGTTGGGCGTGGGAAGAAGGTGCGCAGAAGAGGCAG